AATGATGTATTCATACAGTTATATTGTGTAATATATATGGTCTGATGCAGATATGGCACAAATTGCAGCTGAGATTGACAACAATTCTCATTGAACTTGAAAACTAAAATTGATCTCTATTCTGTAATTGTATACAAAACTGACAATTGCTATCCTTTTCTTATGATTGAGTGATAATTATACACATGAAATTAATGGGTTGTACACATTTTTATGCCTTCCCAATGTAACTGCAATGGTGAAATTATTTATATCCAAGTTAAAAAGCAGTGGTCTTTACTGTTTTACCTGCCATTCAGGCTTTGAAATTGTGCGAACATTGCATTTTCTGAGTGATCATCAATGGCTTGAACTTCACCTGGACCCTTGTCTTCCTGGTTGTTATCGATCGGAGGACTTGCGGATGACACCAAGATAGAAGGTTGGGAAGTGATGCTGGCATCCGATAGCTTGGCCTCGTCCTCCGTCATGCCTTCTGTGAATGCTTCTTGCAGTTGCAAGGCGTACTCAAAGTTCCACAAAACATCCCCCATTGAAGGGCTGTCGACACCGTATTCAGCCAAGCATTTCTCGGCGGCGGCGGCAAACTTCTTCGTTGATTCTGGATTGATGGAACCTGCTAGATGAGGATCGACAACCTCTTCAAGCAAATCCTTCTGCTTCCATTGCCTTGCCCAGTCAGCCAAGTTAACCTGCTCTCTTGGCAATTGTGGGATAATGGCAGGCCTTGCACACAAGCTTTCAAGCAAAACTACCCCGAATGAGTAGACATCGGATTTTTTTGTCAATTGTTGGCTTCTGAAGTATTCAGGGTCCAAGTACCCGAAGCTACCTTTCACTGCGGTGCTAAAATGAGTCTGTCCCATGGGTGTGTCTTTCGACAGACCGAAATCAGCTACCTTGGCCACAAAGGCATCATCGAGCAAAATATTGGTGGTCTTAACATCACGGTGAATGATCCCTTGTGCGGTACCGGTGTGAAGGTAGTGAAGTCCACGAGCAGCTCCAAAACAAATCTGCAGCCTCTGCGTCCATGATAATGGTGGCAAGTTTTTTCCATACAAGTGATCCCTGGAAGGTCCATTCGACATGTACTCGTAAACTAGGATCATTTCGTTGTTCTCCTCACAGTAACCGATTAGTGACACCAAGTGTCTGTGCCTTTGACAGCATCTGGAGTTCTGTCTGGAACTCATTGATACCTTGTTCAGATTGTGGGTTTCCTCTCTTCACAGCAACTCGAGTCCCCTCATCGATAGTACCTAAATAGACATTGCCGAATCCACCAACACCGATTATCGCACACGAATCAAAGTTATTTGTTGCTTCTTGCAGCTCCACCAAAGTGAAATATCGACCTAAGCCGGTGCAAGTGTTGCTCTTCTTAGAACCATTGCCCCTGTTCAAGGGGCTATTGTTATGTCCTACATGGAGTGGGAGCAACCAATTAGAAAAACTATTCCTCTTGTGCCAATCTTGGGGTATCTTCTTCCATTTATAGACCATTGCACCAAGACCCACAAAGGCACCGAATGCCATCGCAAAGACGATCACAACCACCGTGCCCTTGTGGGACAGTTCGGAGTCTCCGCCGACAACACCGTGCTCCCCATCCAAACTATCAGCCGAGTTGCTCATTTTCATCACCTCCAAGCCATTAAGGATCGCATTACTCTTCCGGTTAATGTGATTCAATGGACCGACCTGAACCTTTAGTACATCACCGAAGAGCGAAGCGTTCACCACGGTATCTTTGTAATATGGAACGTCCAACCTTCTGCCGCTTAAGCCCAACAAGTCCAACCGGATACTGCCATCTTACCATTAATGTAAACATTGAAATATAGATCATTGAGTGCCTTGCTAACAATGTCAGAGAAATGCATCCTATGCAAATAATCAAACGCTCTATCGATGTCGAACTTCCATGAGACATTGGTCGAGATGTATACATCAGCCATCTCAGTAAGCGTCAAATAAATAATTGTCGGTGCGATCAACTGCGTGACAGCCGAGGGGAATCTGATCGAATTCAACAAAGTCGAGGCTTCCTTGGCTAAATTCTTGTCTTCAAGATAAGTAGTGTCAGGTATCCATGTCCTTCCTAGTGTATCATTCTTCGAGGTGATCAAAGGTCCCCCCATGTTAATCCTGTATACAACTTGATAACCATGCCTGGTTAAACCGGAAAACCTGTCAACGGAAAGAAGGGAAGTCCCTTCGTCGGCGATCAAGCTATCGGGCACGGAAATGACCTTAATCGCGTTTATAAAAGCGAATGAATTATTCAGAGGTTGAAACTTGAGAGTAAATGTAGGATCAGTCATGTTAAGCAGGTACTCCTCGAGGATCGGTATCGAATTATTTATTGATCTTGAATTTGTGCAGGAGAGCATACCTATTCGCCGTCACCGAGAATGTCGATTGTCGGAGATCGTATCATTTATCTTTCATCGCAAAGAAATGGAGACGCACCCAATGGTAACCGGGTCGTTTCAAGGTGAACGAATACGTTGCTTCTTCGGGGAAAACCTTGGCATTTAAGTATATAGATGAAGGAACATCATTCTTGGTTTTCAAGTACTCAGATGCTTCTTTATCTGTTTTAAATTTTCTTCCATCGGGAACCTCTGGTGGCGAATCGGCACCGCAGTCGACGAGGATGTTGTCTTCGGGAGTGAAGGAATCAACACCGGTCACGGCGGAGCATGAAACAAAGACGTTAAAGAACAACACCACCAGGAGGATTGCCATAGATGATGATGAAAATGGTGGCGACAGTGATGACAAAATGGAGGATAGAAAACAGTCGGTTTCCGGATTTCTCGTTTTTCCCCCTATCTATCTCCATCCTTCCTCCTGGATGTTGTCGGAACGGAACCCAACAACGAGGATGTTTTCTTTTTTCTCATTTATTGAAATCTCTGTATGTTTTATTTTAATTTATTTTATTTTTTGGTTTGAAAATCAATGGCAAAAGGAATCGACAGCAGAAATGGAGTTTCGGATGGTTCCTAATTACGAGCAATGTTCGTGGAGAAAGATTTTGGATTGATCGCTGCTTTCCCTCCATTGTTAGCTAACTGTTAACAAATTTAACGGTTTACAACAAGCTTTGGACATGGTCCACGGCGGAGCAAAATTTAGAACTTAGACAAGTTTTTTTTAATGCTTGTACACTTCGAACAGTTGTTAACTTGTTTTGCAGTTAACTTTCTTACTTGTGTCTTCTTCTTACAGGGAGTGGGGTGCCATGGTTAGCATCAACTTATCACATTCCAGCTTAGTTCTAAATTGTGGCTGAATCCAGCATAACCATCGCATTCTAATATTTTTCAAGGCCACTATAGTTATATTCGCAACTTAAAATTTTAATTGCTTTTTAAAAAAATAAATCACGTCATAATATCTTTAACCACAATATAAATTCGTAATTACGACCACAGCCACAATTTAATATTATCTCTAAATCTAAATCTAATTCAACTACGATTCTATCTTTCACAAAACGCACACCGACCTATCCCAATCTCAAATCCTGAAGAAACTGATTCTTTAACCGAGATTTGAGTTAAAATTTATTAGGTTAGGATTAGTCGGTCAATAGATCGGATACGATTAATTAAAAAAAAAAAAAAGTCAATCATCCATTACAATTAGTGTAATAAAGCCAAAATCGAGAACGATATTAAACAATAAACTTTATCGGAAATTGACATCACACCTACCATCTAACGTTACGTTGTTCATAGGCCAGATGTCGATGTCCCCGCAATTAGCTTCTAACGTCTCGCAGTGTTTCTGCATATATTTAGCTTTCAGACAAACCACAGCGTCCACCTTCAAAGAAAACGCCATTCCATGCTGCTTCCAATACGTCTCCGACCCCAACACATCCACTTTCAGTCGTCCCTCTTCCTTTTCAACCTGATAATAGTCGTTTAAAACGCCAGAAAAGCGCTGTTTTCCACCGTCGAAAATGGATACCCGAAGGTCCGTGTAACGAATCGAAGCATACTCGTTGGGGTTCTCTAAAATAAAAGTTAGTTGGCGGTTGACGGTGTTGTTGGGAGAAATAGTATCATTGAAAGCGGCAATCGACTCGATGAGAATGATCGGAGGCCTACTTTGTTGATACGTGAAGAAGAAACCGGTGAAAGCGATTGAAATGAACAGCAAGGAGAACGCAACGAGTGTGATGACAAACAGTTTCGGACATGGACGCGGCTTCGGTGTCACCAGAGAAGGCTCTTGTGATGTAATTACGGCTGGTTCTTCGTGATATCGGGGTGTTACGTAGCAGTAATCTACTGGGATTCCCATCACAACCCTGTCTTGATTCTCCATTGGCATGACTGGAAATGCTTGTGATTTTCGGAGATTTTGACGAAAGAGATTTGCTGGAAAATCTTAACATTACATTGCAATTATTACTGTAATTACCGACTTGCAGTAATTCAGAAATCAAGGATTTCTTTCGCTTGTATGTTAATTATTTCCTTAAAATGACACTTAATCCATATTTTCCATACCGGTGTTAGACACCAAATGAATTAAAGGATAAATTACACTAATAATCACTAAACTTTTAAAACGTTTCCATTTTGATCATGAATCAACTGTTTTTTACTTTGATAATTGAAATCCAAAATCTTCCATTAGTCGCCGGTGTTAAAAGAACTTGTCATTTCAATCATAATGTCATTAAACCATTAATGATCCCATTCTTCTTTAATAAAATAGAACTCTCCAATGCCATGTCTAGATATTGACTCAACTGTTATTGGCATGCAAGCTGCATGGTCTAGAGACCGAAATTAATTTTTTTTTCTAACGACAACTCCAATAAAAAAAATAATTGATTTTAATGACCAACATAAATATGCACTACTATTAGTGTAATTTACCCTAAATCAAATTTCATTCCAACAATATTTCAATATAGTTTGAATCTTGTCGATCATCTCCAACTTATAGCAGTGTATACCGGTCAGCTTAAATCGATACCAAATAAACAAAATTTCATTCGATTAAAATTTCGACGTTTTTTAACAGTCTCGATCGATTCTGACATCCTTATTACCTCTATTATTCATCATTAAGGAATCATCACATGCGTATACAACATAGGAAGCATGCTAAATGCAGTCCCACCTGATTGTGTTTCATAGTTGATTTCTTGAGGTTAAAGATATAGCCAAAGTCTCACTGCCATTGCAGGGCATCTAAAGCTTGTCGGTGAATCTTTTCGTCTCCGGCTGCCACTACATTAAAGCCTAGAAGACGAGCAAAATTAACCAGATCAGCAATGTTCCACCAACAGTCGAATTCAAGGTTAGACTTATTCGGAAAAAAATCATGAAAGAACAAAGAAAGAAAAATCATGAGTGTCGACATACTTGTAGCTTGCGAACTTGCAGAAGCTTCCCAATGGAGCTGATTTCCTTTCCAGTCACTTATAACACCCCCAGCACCCTCTATAACAGGTATAAGTGCGAGGAAATCGTAGGGCTGCCGAAGATTTTGATCAGAGAAAAACATCAGGTTAAGTAGTTCCATGTCTTTCTAACTTCCACTGCATTTACTGATCTTAAAAAAAACACTAAAAGAAATTTGTACCCGGAGACCAGACTCGACGACAAGATCCACATAACCGGAAGCCAAGAGGGCATAGGCGTAGCAGTCACAGCCATATAGTGGCACTTTCACCTGTTGAAAAAACTGAGTCAAGACTGTACATCACAAGAATGTTGTTCTTTTAAGTCTTTTATCATGAATATTCTTACCTTAACCAAGGATCCTGAATTTTTTTCTCATTTTGGAAAGTCTTTTCTAATATCAGTTACTAACTAATGGGTAAATTTAAACAACACCTTATATTATATAATCCACTCGAAACAGAAATACACAACCTTGTCTCTAACACGGGCAAATGCCTCGTTAGCATCTCCACTGAACAGATGGGGACTTGTGGTATACCTAAAACACATAAAGAAAAAGGTAAGTGCATAGAGTAAAAAGGGTCCTTTCGGAGACTCGAGTTTTGCAAGAAGACTCTTATCATATAAACCATGGAACATAATTATGTCAAGTAAGATCTAGTCGACGACACGGAAAACATACAAATACGCTCGTGACAGTTCTGTACAAGTTCGTGTAGCCACCTCCTGTCCATTCAATGTAGTTGCCCTTCCACTTATTCCAATCCATCTTTCTCCAAGGACAGGCTGATCAATTATACCAAGAATCTGGAAAATAGGAATGATAAAGACCGTAAATTAAACAAAACTCATGAACCATGATGCACTTTTCAAATTCGATGCATGACTCTTATACAAAAGGATGGTTAATTACACAGTACTTATGCACTATGATGCATTCGACTCGAATACAAGAGGTAGGTACGATAGAGTATTTGACAATGTTCAAAACATAAGTCACAAACAATCAAAAGCGAAATTAACCCATGGAAGTGTCCGCTGGGGGTAAAAAAGCAAACAAAGTTTAGATGAAAAGGACAGCATATTCATGGCAACTTGCAAAACTAAAAGCACTTAATACAAATTCATACGATTCAGCTTTAAGCAAAGCTCAAAAGGCAACTTTGCAAAACCGGTTTTCCTAGGATGACGGTGGAACCATAATCCACCACCAATGAATATTAGCATAGGCCCAAGAGCGCTGCAGAGGGTATAAACGAAACTTACTGGTTTACCGTTCTTCAGCAAAGCAATGAGAGTACCGAACACCGGTTTTCCTGGAAACCGAGAAGCATAAGCTCGCTTTAGGCCAAAATTCAACCATTAAACTAAAATTTTACTTTGAATGAAAATAGAAAGGGAGAACTAATGTACCAGTAATGAAACTTTTTGTGCCATCTATTGGGTCTAAAACCCAAACATAATCTGCAGATTCCTCTTTACATCTCCACCCTTTCTCCTCCCCATAACTACAATTAACAGTTCTAATATTTCTTAGCAAACAGAGATTTTAAATAGATAAATAAATAACTCATTTCTCACATTGCATGAGAGGGAAGGCTCTCCATTATAATGGAAATCATAGATTCCTCAGCAGCTTGATCGGCAATGGTCACTGGACCTAAAATCGATGAATTCAATAAGCCCAATATATTTAAACCAAAAGCATTCGCATTTACTTAAATTCAAGCAAGGGAAACTTACTCAAATCTTCTTTATCAATAATGTCGAATTTCTTCCTAAAAAAGCTGCGAATGACTTCACCGGCGGCATCGGCTAGCTTGTTTCCGACCTCGACGAAACGGTCGAGATGGGTGTCGTTTAACAACGAAGGGTCGGTGTGAGAAGAGAGTTTGGAGTGGGGAATCATGGGTTTAGATCGGAGAGAAATAGTGGGGATTTTGAAGGCGGGGCGTGAGAGGAAGGGAGTTTTGTTGGGAGAGGAGGGAGAGAAAGAGAGGGGTTTGGAGGGGAATGAAAGGAAATGGGATTGGGATTGAGAGAACATCTGGAAGGAGAGAAAAATGGTTTATCAAATAAGCTAGAAAGAGAATAAGGGAGCGCTTTTGGCAACGGAGCGATAGCTAATGACTGCCGACAACTTAGAGAGAGAGGCAAAGAAGAAGACGAGCAATTAATTGCTCCAAAAATAAAAAGAAGACAAGTAATTCACCACAAATTAAACGAGTAACGATAATAAAATAATAAAAATTAAAGATAAAAACACAAATTTACATTAAACACGCATATAATATATCCGGGAAGCCGTATACTTTAGAAGAAGTTTGTATAGTTTGAGAAGGGGTTTTGATTGATCGATCAAAAAGAAGAATCTACTTCAATCGATATGTTTTTAAATACGATCATACATAACATAAAAATCACACTTGAAAGGGGTGGACAATTAGCTAGAGCAGCTGGTGCTGTAGCGAAACTAATTGTAAAAGAGGAAAATCGACCACATTAAAATTACCTTATGAGGAGGTCCGTTTGATATTCAAAAACTGCTCAACGACAATTGGACAAGTGGGGATTGTTGGGGTGAACCAGAAAAGTTTGAGTAGAGCCGGATCTAAATGTTGACTAGGTAAGCGTCCTGTAGTAAGAGGAGTAGTTATGAATCCTATAGACCATCTCCATGAGGTGATGAAGAGAGGACTCCAATTGGTAGAAAAAAACCCGCAATCTCTTGAGATTATCATGCACTTAGAAGAAGAAGTAGAAAAAAAATAAATATAGTGATAATTTGATTCTTCGTCGCCGTAGTAAATAGGAGAGAAAATAAAAAATAGAAAATATATAAGATAGATACACCCCCGAACGATTTAGAAGTAAAGCGTACAAAATAACACGTTGATTCACCAGGGCAGTTTTGCCTTGATCTTCTCCCTCAAACACATCTCCTCCTGCTCAAGCTGAGGCTGAGCAGGCAGTGTGGTGATTCTGGTGGTTGTGACGGAGGTTTCGGCAGTGGTCTGAGATTCATCCTCCTTGTGATTTCCACATATTGGTTTCTCCATTATTTTGTCCTCCTGCACTTTCTTCTTTTCGTCATCCTCGAACTATGAAGTATAAACCCAGAAAACAGTTCAAATCCAGAAAGAAAAAGAAAAACCTCGCAGTTAACTATATGTACCAGAAGGGGAGATGGTTCATTCATTACCGAGCTGTTGCTGGAAATAGCGGGGGGATGGATCTCTTCCTTGTTCGAAACCTCGTAACGCGGCGGTGTAGGAAGCTGACGATACTACTGCTGCTGAGACTCGGAGGCAGGACGATTCTGGGGTTCCATCATCTGATTCTGACCACCGTGCATAGGTTGATGGTTGGTGGTGGCTATACCAGTGACGCGCATGGGATGACCATGTTCATCGGTCAATTGAACCGGGTTGCTGTGCACATCGGTGAGTTGAATTGGGTTGCCATGTATCTCTTAAATCAGCCATCTTTATATGAAACTTTATGGTCTATTGAGTGTGAGGGCGATGACATTCATATACTTATTTGATGAGACGGTGGAGATGACAAGTACAATTTCTGTCCTACAGGTGGCGTGGCGAGGCGTTTGCAAATGATACATTCAAGGTATAGCCACGTCAGAGAATCGATGTGGCCACGTGGTGGGTGACAATTGCCAAATTGCATGCAATAACAACCGAAAGTGCGAGATATTCATTGAAGATTTGATAATAAAATGTATAGGTTTTCAATTAGTAATAATAATTAATTTTATTGAATAAAAATAAAATTATAGAAAATTTATAAAAATTAATGTAGATTAAATTACAACAATCAACATTTTAGAATTATAAAATATATAAATAAAACATTAAAATAAGATATATATTAATGAAAGTAGGTCAATAAAATAACTAAATAACATATAAAACTACGACATCAAATTTAAGATCAATCTCAAAGATGACAAGAAAAAAGATAATGAAAAAAAAAGGTCAATGATCATCTACTGAAAAATTAAATCGGGTCGAGCTTGGAATCAAATGTTAAAAGTATTAAATAATATTCAATCAGATATTATTTTACCATGCCTACTTGCGCTGTTAAGTGAAGAATTTCTCTGGTGGGGTCCGACGTACATTTAGCATTCATAACTGGAGACGAGCAAGTTAAACAAGTAATTGCTCTTCTAGGACGAATATCCAGAACCAATTAACCATACAAAAAATTCATATGAATCAATTCGTGTATGAATATCCAAAGCATGAAACAGATAAATCTGTACAAACTACGAATAAGATCACTACTGTAATGCCTATATTTATTTTTTCATTCATTTTTTCTTCAATATATCGATATATTCTTTTCACCAGTAAATTAGCAATATCTCCTTTACAAGGGTGAGTTCCACCGGATATAATCCTGTCGATGAAACTTCATACTGATGTTAAGAATTCCTTATCCGACAGAACTCCAAAGAAATGCATAACTGTGACATTGAAGCTATAAGAAAGGCAGTTTTATTTGTCAAAGAGAGATACTAACCTCCTCAAAGCAGACACAAAGATCATGTTTTGCTAGATTTGGTCCAGAAAAGACCCTTTTTCCGGGTAGAGTGATTCTCTGAAGGGGGGCTACTTTCCTTTGATCCAAAAGAAAAGTGCTTCCACAGGAAAGGTCTGCTCGAGCTTTTCATGTTCGAACTGGAGGCCTCTCCTTCGAGTCCATTTGTTTTTGGACGATTAAATACAACAGGATCATCGTCAATATCACCATCAACAACTCGGTTCCTTGATCTTTTGTCGATTTTAGCCTTAAAACCAATTTCAGCTTTAAATGCTTTCTCGGATAATTTGTGAGTTGTCTTCTCCCCGAGTGTACATATTTGGCAAGCTGGATCATACTTGTCGATTTCAGGGGTCATATGTTCCAAACATTCAGCATGGTAAACATGCCCACATGTTAGAACAGCAACGACAGGATGCTCATTGCTAATAACAATCTTCTGGCTGCTCCACAAAGAGTTTTCCAATAGTAACTTTGAGCAAACACCACATGTTTGCAGATCAACAGAGGGAGATGCTGAAATTCGGCTACTGGACGTGCTAATCTTCTCAGGATGAGAACCCCATTTGTCATTATCAAAAGGCCACCTTTCCCTACGAGATGTAGCCATAAGTTCAGAAAAGGCATGCATAGACCAAGCATCAGAAGAATCACCACGAGAGCCAACGGTTGATTCGTTACTCCATGAAGGCATTACTGGCCTTTCCTCACGAACTGAGTACCTATCCAGTGATTTCGATTCCAGAGACCACCTTGTTGTCGTTGAACTGGTAGGATGCACATGACTCTGGGAAGACAAAGGGGATGTAGCAAAGGAGGAAGCTGATGGCAAAGAAAATGATGACTTAGGAGGAGATGAACACGTGGCTGTTGGGGCTTCCATTGACTCCCTCACCTGAAACACAATCCAGAATTCTTAAAGGATGATCAGAGAGTTGGAAGCGGGCATGAAACTGCTCCTACAGGAAATAGCATTACCTGCTCGAGGTTCACATCAACAGAGATATTTCTTGAAATAGATTGATCTGCATAATATATGTAAAAGAACGTTAGAAATAACAACTGCAAAAGAACCTTTCAGGCATCCTTTTATTTTTGTTAAAAATTGGAAAACTAACAAAATGATAGAATAACATGACTAACATTTAACAGAAGACTTGTTTCTTCTACTTGGATATTAACACAAGCAAAGAGACAAGAGAAGCAAATCTCATGCAGAGCCAGAACCAGACCCCCCCACCCCCAAAACCCATCCAAAGAAACCAATATAGACACCATAAATATCGTATTTCGTTCTTTACAAAACTCTGCATGACAAACACAAACTGAATATAAAGCATTCATGCATTACTCACACTGTATGGAACATAAACAAGGTATAGTAGGATCATTCAAGAAGTAAAGCACTGCTCAAAGGAAAGCGGAAAAGGCCAGAAGGTCCAACCTACATAGGCCAAGACTAATCCTGCTATGCATGCAACTCCTTTATTAAACAATATTTTCAGGAGAATACTAAAGATGTTAGCCAAGTAAATTATGAAATATAAAGGTTCACATCTTCAAAAAGAATGACATAAAATTTTCACCTTTAACTAAATTATACAATACTGTTCCCTTCCAGTGCTCACAAGGGCTTGAGCCCATCTGTTTTCTGATATTTGATCAGAAACACTTCTCTATGTCTACTTCAGCCACTATTTATCTATTCAGTTATGTTGCCATATGATACAGTAATAGCAGGAAAATAAGCTTGACATTTAAAAGTATTTCCAACATTATTGAGTGCGGCATGATTCGCACTTACACCAACATCCAAGCAGATTACCTGAAGCGGGGGTTCTCAATTTTCCTCCAGCTCCTTCTGAAGTTGGGCACTTTTTCCATGTACGAGACTGAAAACTCCAAGACAGACTTCCATCCTCCGAAACACAAGCAGATTCATATTTGACCTCTGATCCATCATTCCGACTAATCGCATCTGAAAACCAACTTACAGAAGTGTCTTCACCCGCCACACGCCCACGGTTATCCCAATGAAAACTCCACGTTGGTGAACACCTTGTATTCCTATGTAAAAGTTCACTGCCTGATCCATTTACTATAGCTTTGTCTCTAGAAGTAACACAACAAGCAGCCCCCATGATCCACCACAACTCAAACCGATGCTATAACGGTATTTAAAGAACCATCATTCTCATTACTGGAAAATGAGCATCTGGGAGAACTGCCAACAAAATAATCCTTTGTTTACTGACATAAAACGAAAATCGTCAATAAGCTTATTGGTAATTTTAGAGGCTAAAAATAAAATATTAGTAATTAATAATTACTAAAGTTAGAAAGAAATTATTACCATTATTGATAGAAAAATTAACTTTAATCAGTTAAAAAATATATATTAAGAGACAAAGCTTGTAGGCTTAGAATAACACACTCAGAATCGTTATCCACACTGGCTCACCCAAATCTCAAGGGAAAGAAAACACAGTGGATTTTTTTAAAAAAAATAAGCACCGAATATCTATATATATATATATATATAGAGAGAGAGAGAGAGAGATAGATAT